GGTGAGGGGGGGGCACTGCCCCACAGACCCCCGGGGTGAGGGGGGGGACTGCCCCAGAGACCCCCAGGGTGAGAGGGGGCTGCCCCACAGAACCCTGTAGTGAGGGGGGGACTGCACCACAGACCCCTCTGGTAAGGAGGGGGGGCTGCCCCACAGACCCCTGTGGTGGTGGGGAAGGCCCCACAGACCCCTGTGGTGAGGAAGGGGGGGCTGCCCCACAGACCCCCGTGATAAGGGGGGATTTGCCCCCCGGTTCCCCCTTGAGCTCCCCAAGAGCCCTCTGTGCCCCCCAGGCCTTCGAGCTGGCGACGGGGGATTATCTGTTCGAGCCACACTCGGGGGAGGAGTACAGCAGGGACGAGGGTGAGGGGGGACGGGGGGGACAGGGGAGAGGGTGGGGGGACAAGGGGGGATAGGGGGGATGGGGTGGCAGGGGAGGGAGTGGGGGGAGAGCAGAGACGAGGGTGAGGGGGGACAGGGGGAGACGGGGGGACGGGGGGGGACAGGGTGGGACGGGGGGGACAGGGGGGACAGGGAGGGACAGGGGAGGGGGTGAGGGGACAGCAGACAGGTGAGGGGGGACGGGGGGAGATGGGGGGGACAGGGGGGATGGGGGGAGAGGGGGGGACAGCAGGGACGAGGGTGAGGGGGGACAGGGGGAGACAAGGGGGGACGGGGGAGAGGGTGGGGGGACAGCAGGGACAGGTGAGGGGGGACAGGGAGGATGGGGGGGACGGGGGGACAGGGGAGGGAGTGGAGGGACAGTAAGGACGAGGGTGAGAGGATGACGGGGGGGATGGAGGGACAGGTCAGGGGGGACAGGGGGTCAGGGGGGACAGGGGAGAGGGTGGGGGGACAGCAGGAACAGGTGAGGGGGTGGGAGGAGATGGGATGGAACAAGTGAGGCGGTGGGTGGGGCTAAAAGCGGTGGGCGTGGCCCAAAGGGGGCGTGTCCCCTGAGGTGCCCCTCCCTCCCACAAACCCCCCCAGACCACATCGCCCACGTGATCGAGCTGCTGGGGGACATCCCGCGCCACGTGGCCCTGGGGGGGAGATATTCCCGGGAATTCTTCAACCGCAGAGGTGGGCGGGGCCGGGGCTAAAGGGGTGGGAAGAGGTGGGACAGGGTGGGGGAGGGATAAAGGTGAGGTGTGGGCGGGGTTATGTAAATGAAGGGCTTTTTTGCCCAGGGGGCGTGGCCACAGAGAAAGGGGGCGTGGGAAGGGGGTCAGAAGGTTCATGGGTGTGGGTGCGAGGTGGGGGTGGGTCCTTCTATGACCCCGCCCATGAGTGAAGGAGGGGCTTTGTCCCACTTGACCAACCACCTGCGACTGGGCGTGTCCTCCCCAGCCCCGCCCCCCCCCAGTGTGACACACCTAGGGGTGTGTCTGTCCCTGACCCCGCCCACTAGGGATTAGGGGCGTGTCCTTGACTCCACCCCTTTCCATGGAGTGATGTCACATATGAGGACACGTCCCACCTGACCCCCACCTTCGAGTGGGCGTGTCCTCCCCTAACCCTGCCCCCCACTGGTGTGACACACCTGGGGGCGTGTCTATCCCGGACCCCGCCCACTGGTGGAGTGGGGGCGTGTCCTCCAACAACCCCACCCCTTTCCATGGAGCAATGCCACACATGAGGTCACGCCCCACCTATGAGTGGGCGTGTCCTCCCCTAACCCCACCCCCACCAGCTGTGACAGACCTGAGGGTGTGTCTATCCCTGACCCCACCCACTGGGGGAGTGGGGGCGTGTCCTCCAACGACCCCACCCCTTTGCATAGAGTGATGTCACACCTATGAGTGGGCGTGTCCTCTCCTAACCCCGCCCCACACTGGTGTGACACACCTGGGGGCGTGTCTATCCCTGACCCCGCCCCTTTGCACAGAGTGATGTCACACATCAGGGCACACCCCACCTATGAGTGGGCGTGTCCTCCCCTAACCCCACCCCTCCAAATATATGACCCACCTGGGGGGCGTGTCCATCCCTGACCCCGCCCACCGGAGAGTGCCACGCCCACTGTCCCACCCCCTTCTTCGTGTCTGTGGACACCCCCCCAACCCCCTGGTGATGTACGGGGGGTCTTCCCCCCATGGTGAAGGGGGGGGACCCTGACCCCTGCCGTGCCCCCTCCCCAGGTGAGCTGCGGCACATCCGGCACCTGCGGCCGTGGGGGCTGCGGGCGGTGCTGCAGGAGAAATACGAGTGGCCCCGGGGCCCCGCGGCCGCCTTCGCCCGCTTCCTGCGGCCCATGCTGGCCTTCGAGCCCGCCCGCAGGGCCACCGCACACCAGTGCCTGCAGCACCCCTGGCTGAGACCGTAACCCTCCCACCTGTACCCACCCAGCGCCCACGGCCCCAATAAAGGCATGCCCGGGACGGTTTCTGGTGGTCCTGGGGTGTTTATTGGGGTCCTGTGGCTGTGTCGGGGTCCTGGAAGGGGTTGTTGTGGTCCTGTGGGTGTGTTGGAATCCTGGGGTGTTTATGGGGGTCCTGTGGCTGTGTTGGAGCCCTGGGTGTTTATCGGGGTCCTGTGGTTGTGTTGGGGTCTGGGGGTGTTTGTTGTGGTCTTGGGGTGTTTACTGGGGTCCTGTGGGTGAAGGGGATTGTTGTGGTCCTGTGGGTGTGTCAGGGTCCTGGAGGGGGTTGTTGTGGTCCTGCGGTGTTTATTGGGGTCCTGTGACTGTGTTGGAGCCCTGGGGTGTTTATTGGGGTCCAGTGGGTGGTCAGAGCCTTGGAGAGATTTCTTGTGATCCTGGGGTGTTTACTGAGGTCCTGTGGGTGTGTCGGGGTCCTGGAAGGGGTTGTTGTGGTCCTGTGGCTGTGATGGAATCCTGGGATGTTTATTGGGGTCTTGTGGCTGTGTCAGGGTCCTGGAGGGGGTTGTTGTGGTCCTGTGGGTGTGTTGGAATCCTGGAGTGTTTATGGGGGTCCTGTGGCTGTGTTGGGATCTGGGGGTGTTTGTTGTGGTCCTGGGATGTTTATTGGGGTTTTGTGGGTGTGTCGGTGTCCTGCAAAAGTTTGTTGGAGTCCTGGGGTGATTACTGGGGTCCTGTGGGTGTGTCAGGGTCTTGGAAAGGTTTGTTGTGGTCCTGGGGTGTTTACTGGGGTCCTGTGGCGGTGTTGGGGTCCTGGAAGGGGTTGTTGTGGTCCTGGGATGTTTACTGGGGTCCTGTGGTTGTGTTGGAGTCCTGGGGTGTTTATTGGGGTCCTGTGGGTGTGTCGGGGCCATGGAGGGGTTTGTTGTG